TAAATCAGGGTTGGGTTTAGTAAAATTTTTTAATGTGGGTGGAATGAAGAATTTTCCAAGATAACTTGAAGAAAGAAGAGTTCAAGAAAGAAGACTCAAGAGGAATTCTAGGAAAATCGTTTAACATTATACAAAATTGTATTTGATCGGATTGTATTGAGTTATATTTCGCGTTATGTTAAATAGTTGATATTACCAGAATTTTAAAGTAGTTGGCATCCGAAATTAATAAGTTCTCTAAATTTAGTTTCAAAGAGTATGAATTATATTTATTGGATAATTTACCAATTTATTTAATATGACTATATATGGGTTATTGAAAACAAATCTTAATATTTTGATCATGCATTTGTACAACCGTTCAACATTCTTAAACGTTATGCATGCCGAGAAAATTTCAAGTAATTGGAGAAAATAAGGTGTATACCATGTACAAGAAAGTGGAAGTAGCTGAGTATTCCTAGGTGTGGAGGCAACTGCAGAGTTCTTGTTATTGACACTGCTAGGAGGTGGGAATCACCAAACAGTATGTAATAAACTGGTAAAAATACAGTTGATGACAATAGGTTGTTTGGTGTTAGACGTTAAAAAATATTTTATATTTGTATTATTTTATATATAGAAAATTAAATGTTTGTCACATTGAAATAGTTAAGATTACAAAATTATATCAATTTATATTATTCTATTTTTACTGTAATCCGTGATAACATTAAGCAATAATAATAATTTAAATTAAGTTGTATAATCTATGTAAATAAATGTAAACATTTATGGGAGCTTATCAACTGTTCAGTAAAGGATCAAATTATTGGAGTTATTTCTAATGAGATAACAGTGTAAATTAGATTATTTTATAAAAAATTTCCTTATTTCTACAGCCAATGGAGGTCTATGTGGATGATGAAGCTAAACTTACACTTCATGGCTTACAGCAACATTATGTCAAGCTTAAGGAAAATGAAAAAAATAAAAAATTATTTGAGCTCCTTGATGTGCTTGAATTTAATCAAGTATGTTCTAATTTTAAGTTAAACGTTAATAAAACGTTGATAATTTAATATTTATATATTGGTTGTAGGTTGTAATTTTCGTTAAATCGGTACAAAGGTGTATGGCTCTTGCACAACTTCTTACTGAACAAAATTTCCCTGCAATTGGTATTCATAGAGGAATGACGCAAGAGGAACGATTAACCAGATATCAATCGTTTAAAGATTTTCAAAAGGTATTTATTAAAAATTTATAAATACAATTTTAATTTTAATAACACAATGATGCAACTTTTTATTTTGATCTCGTGATTTCTTTTGAACTCTCTCACTGAGTGTATTATTTATTATTATTTATTAACAAACTGTATTATTGAATAAACCTCACAATATTATATTTATTCATATTATAGCGGATTTTAGTAGCTACAAATCTTTTTGGACGTGGTATGGATATTGAACGAGTAAATATTGTGTTCAATTATGATATGCCAGAAAATTCTGATACTTATCTTCATCGTGTAGCTCGAGCAGGACGCTTTGGCACAAAGGTAAATTAAAATATGTAGTGTAACTATTTCTACTTTTACTAATGCAAATTTATCTTTAGGGATTGGCTATAACTTTAGTCAGTGATGAAGGAGATGCTAAAATTTTAAATGATGTACAAGAACGCTTTGATGTAAACATAACTGAATTACCTGATGAAATAGATTTAGCCTCGTACAGTATGCATCTGAATAGTTAAAAATTACTAAATATTGTTTTATCACCAATTAAATTTTATTTTTATTTTCAGTTGAGGGACGATAACAAAAATCAGAAATTGGCTACAAGTTTTTCACAATTTTATCATTGAACTTTTTCATTAACTAAATATGTGTATTGAAGTAGATAATTAAATGCAATAATCTGCATCTATAATCAATTATTTATTAATTTTTGTAATCTATACAAAAGTAATACCTTATCAAAGCAAATTTTCCGATAGAACTTTTTTGTAATTATTACGATTTTTAGCAGTATTTGAATATTTGGTCAAATTTTTTTCTTTTATTTTTAATTGATTTAGTATTCATTAAGACTTGTAAATAATGAAATTTATAATTTACAATAAAAAAGGGTGTACTTACTTTCTTGAAATTTATGTTAATTTATTGTTTATTATCTCACATTTCCTATGTATTTTTATTTAAGGGTTAAATTTTTATTTGAAAATCATTTAATTTAATAAAAGTATTTAATGAAAATTAATTATTATATAATACAATTTTAATTATAATTTATAAATGTGTGTGTGGGTGCCTATATAAACTTGAACTTGTAAACATATCCTTAAATTTATTGATTTGAGGATAAGTAATAATTTTTATTAAATTTATGACAATATTTACTATATTATATAAAGCATAATGTTACAAAGAATAAAATAAATATATATCAAAACTAAATGATAAAGGATATAAATAAAATTGCAATTTCTTTTATTAGATATAAAATATCCAAACTTATTATATACATAAATTTACTAAATATAAACTAGACTTGTATTTCCAGTGTCTTAATATAACTACAATTTAAATTCCAGTACTTAATTTATCTTTTATTTTTACAATTGCATACTATTTCATATATATATATTTAAGTAAATTTTGGTTATATTTAATTCCATTTGTTAACTTTTATGAAATATAGCTTTGTTGTTAAACATTAGTAATACAAGAAATTATTTTTAAACTAAATTTAATAAATACTTATTTTTTACTATTTATAATTTTATTATGGTATTATTTTCATATTGTTTAAAACTTTCTTATAAAATTTAAATTCAATATCTGAAAACAATAAATATTAAAATTGTCCAAAATATTTTTTAAATGTTTAATAGTATAGTATTCATATTTAAAAATCTTCGAAATAACGTTATCCATAAACTAATATTATTTTGAAAACTGAACAATTCACTTTTTGAATAACGAATATATGTTATTAACGTAAATTTGAAACAGTATATAATTTATAGAAAAGGATGTATAAAACAGAAATTAATTTAAAAATTCCAAATCTCAAAGATCTTTATTGTATAAATTGTAAAATAAATCCGTTATATATGAAAAATACTATAAAGTCTTTATTTCATTACCAAATTTTAACATGCAGGCAAATATTCATTTTAGAATTGGTTATAATTTATTTTTATTCAATATTAATATTAAACTAATTTATATAAAAATTTACAGATTAATTATATATTCTGTGAGGTGTTGTATTGCGTCACCATCAATTGAAAGTGTAGATAATTGGATTCACGTCATTATCAATAAACAATTTTATTACACAGGAAAATTACAAAAACATCTTTTGAATTTACAAGTTCAAGTATGGATAATAAGTATATATTTAATATATATACAAGCTATTTAAATAAATTTTTATATATTTATATATGTATTGCAATCAATTTTTAAATATAATTAAAAATTAAGTTTATCTAATTTGTATAATTATTATACACAAATATTTTTATAACTCTAATTTATTAATATTTGTTAATATAATTTTTTCTAAATCACTATGTGCATATGTATAATATTTTTATAATCTTTTTATTGATAGTTTTCTAATCCAGAGCCAGTTCACTTAAAAATATATAAAGCTTGTTTAAAATATATGTTTACATTTAAACTTGCTCCTCTTTGGAATTTAATTGGAAAATCTTTTTATCTTCCTGGCTTTAGTTTTTTATCATTACCATGTAGTATTGATACTGTAGAATGGAATATTTTGTTCACAGGTATTAATTAGAATTTAATTATATTAAATAACGAAAATTTCTTTTAAGATATTTATTATTAATAAATATTTTTTTTAATATTTAACATAAATTTGATTTATTATTTGTAATTAATATAATAACTGGTCAAGATTGTTTAAAAATTTATATATTTTGATACAACAATTAAATATCTATTTTATTTATATATTTTATAATCTTATTGCAGATGATGATACAAAACTTGAAATAAAAGCAATGAAAATGACTTTATTTCCATTAACATATGAGTATGTAATAAAAAACGCTGAATTCAATGCAATGGGAAATTTGAATAATATAACAATATTTTACAGTTCATGGGTTTATGTATTACCTAAGTAAATATAACGTATTATATTTAATTTTTAAAATAATTTTAAATATATTGATATATTTTACAACTCATTTATAGGTTAACAAAAGCAAAAGTTGTTTCAGTTTCAAAAACACTTCCAAGTAATTGTCCCTTTGCAAATTATAATGATCTTAGAAGGTATTGGAAAAATATGGTACAAAATAAATTAAATATCTTTGTTAAACTATAATTTTTCAAAATTATTTTATTAATATTACCTTTAATTTAATAGTATTCTTATCATTTACCAAAAGTTGATCAAGGGATGCTATTCTATGAAGTAATTTTTCCATTAAATCCTTATAAAAAATTCATATATCCACAAATATGTATATTATATAAGATGCCTAAATTTTTCACTTGTGAAAATAACAGTAAAATAATTTCTAAATTTATTAAGGACTTATCTACTAATATATATTCAGTATGTAGTGAAATAATAAAAATTGGTCACCTATTTCCTGAATTAAATATAGAATGTTCGTATATATTAAAAAGAAAATGTGTTAAATTTGTTAGTTATGTTTTTATAAATTTTTACAATTTAACAAATATTGTATTTAACTAAAAATATTTGTTACCACATGAATACACCATTTTAATATAGTATAATATAACTGCATTTTAATTGTAGGAAAAAGAAAATGTAACCAAATTGAGAAATAATTTTTTTAAAACATCTAATTATATAATAAAAGCAGCAAATAAAAAAAAGGATTTGGTCTCATGTTTTGTAATTAGCAAACTTGAAAAAATGTCTGCATTGACAAAGATTTATTACCAAAAAATTCTTTCTATAATGAAATCAAATTTAAATAATAGAGAAAAATGTAAGAAGGTACCTATAATTGAAACTCACTGTCAGTATAAAATAATAATTAATGGTAAAAAACAAATATTTTATAAAATAAATTATATTAAAAAATATAAAGAAATTATATCTCTAGTAAGTGAAAAAGAAAATAATAATATAAATATTTTTTCATATTATAATTTACTTTCAATGAATATAAATAATAATAATTTAGAATTTATAAGTGAAAATTCTGCTATTTTTAATGAAAAAGATGAAATTTTGTCTGATTATTCTTCTATTAAAAATTATTTTAAAAATCCTTGTTTAAATCTAATTTTATATAGAAAACTAGTAATAAAAAATATAGAAAATATTTATATGAACTTGATCGATTGTAAAAAAATTAAAACTGTTCGAATGCATAATAATTTGAATAATATAAAACAGTTGATTGATAAAGTACAAGCAACAATGGCAATAAATAATTCCTCATTACAAAACGACAAGTTGCTACAAATGTTAGAGTACTCCAATAAATTTAAGTCACAGAGCAAGCAATGTTTTAATCAATTACAATTATTATCATCTACATTTAATTTATATAATATATATAAAAAAAATGATAATTTTAAAGAAATAATTCATTATGATAATAAGATTACAGATCGATCAACACTATTTAAATTAAGAAAAAAATTATTTGAAAAATTAAAAACAAATAATTTTAATCACAATATTTATAAATCAATCAAAACATTACAGACATATCAAAAACTTGAAGTGCAACAGTTTAATAAAAATACTTCTAGAATTAATATTAATATTGTTGATTGCTTATATAATTCATTACAATATTCACCTGCTTTGTTGGATAAATCCAAAAAGAAAAATATAAACTATTTCTTAGAAACATTATCAAAACGTTTATTTCTAAAAATATACAAAAGCTTTCAATGTATTAAGATGAATGAAGATAAAAAATCTTTAAATGAATCAAGATCTTTAACAACTGAAAGAGTAAGATTAAAGTTATTAAAAATCTACAAATTTAATATGACTACAGGAAAAAAAAAATATATATGTATATCAAGTTCCTTACAATCTATAGTTAATTTAAATACTAGATTAGAATTTAAAAGGCAACAACGTATAAAAGATCTTTATTTGCAAAATAAAAAATTAAATTATAAAAATTCAAAATCTTATAACATAGTTTTAAAAGTAAAATTAAAAAAAGAAACATCTCAAAAATTAAAATATATTTTTATTAATCAAAAATTTTATAAAAAAAAGTTTGATATTTTATTTAGATCTCCAGTTTATAAATTTAATTTTAAAAATAAATTTGAAAATAAACTAGACTTAATAATTTGCAAATCTATTCAAACTACTCGCAATAAAAATGAAAAAAATAAAATAAACTATTCTATATTTGATCCGTATGAAAATCAATACAAAAAAATTGAAGATTTTAATCAGGGTAAACAAAATTTTCTAAAATATGGTTTAAATCAAAGTAGAACATATAAAATACCATCTTCAATATTAATTTTTAATTCAAATGATAAATTAGAAAACATATGTTCAATAAAGAGCTTAACAGAATATTCACTCAATACAGCTTGTACAATACAAAACAAAAAGATGTTGCATAGAAATACACTTAATATTTGTAATTTAAAGAATAACACGCTTTTAAATTCAAATGCATTGCAACTAAATTTAACACTTGAATTTAAAAATCGTGATAGTAATTCTATGAGTATTCTATCACAATCTTCAAATGAATTCAATTCTGATAATTATGAATGTTACAAACTTGCTTGTACAGAAGCACTAACATTTGATTAAAACATAAATAATATAAATATTAATATTTATAAATGATATCAACAAATATTTATTTGTTAATAATTGCTTTAATTTCAATAATTAATTTTAATTATTGAATGCAGTATTAAGTTTTACATTAAATTATTTAGCTGTTATTGAATATTTTTTTAAAATTAATTACTGTAACTTATGTAATATTTATTGAGCTTCTATGAATACAAATAAGTTTTTAAATAAATAATTTTGTAACTATTTTATAAGTGTAATAAAGTATGTTGTTTTTAATATAACTTTATCTAATATAAAACATATTCATGTTTCACTTCCCTTACATTCCTTAATAACAGATAATAAAATTAATCGTTCTATTTTACAGTCAATTCCTATTTCAATTAGATCTTTATCATTAAGAGATAAAAATAAATCCAAATCTACCTAAAATTAAATAATTAAAAATTAATATTTTTATTTAAATAGTGTATGCTTTAAAATCAAAATTATAGTAGTAATAATTACTTCTTGCTCAACAAATAAAGGAATATGTCTTTTTAATCCAAACTGTTGCAGTAAAACGATTAACCGGGTAGTACTTGGATCTAACATTATTCCTCGTGGAGGCGTTTTATATTTGGGTGGTGTAGGAGTTGTTTCATCAAATATATTATCCTCGCTCATATCGTGAGGTAAATTGGGTGACTTAGTTGGACTAAATTGAGGCTTAAAACTTAAAGTGGCATTTGAATTATTACTAAAGCTTCTAAATCTTAAATTTGGTGGACGTTTATTTTGACACCTATTTATCAAATTTGAATACAAAAACCTTCAATAAGTTACTATAAAATTATTAAGAATGTTCATTACCTTCTGAGAACTAATGGGGATACAGGATCCTGTATCTTAATTAATGATGATTTATTTATATAATTTTCTGTGGTATTTATTTTTTCATTTACGTTTAATGTAAGTCTTGTGAATGTGTTATTTTTACCATCTTCTAGAACAAAAGTGTTTGGAGAAATTGGTAATATATCACCATTAAAGTATGACAAATCAGGTGATAGAGGATTTTTTGATATATAAGTTAACTTTGAAGGTTGTAAATTCAAATACAAATTTTTATTTGATATATGCTTAGTCATTGCTGATGGAGAAATTTCAACACAAAATTTTGTAATACAAGTTGTTGTTTTTAAATTATCATTATAATAAATGCTTTTAATATCAGTCTTATTTATACTATTGCTAGTACTTTCTTCATCTTTTAATAAGTCTTCGATATCAGAAAGATCATTCCAATAATCTTCTGAATTTAAATGTGATTTAGCTACTGCAACTATTTCTGGTTCTGTTGATTGTTTGATCATTGTATGCGTGAAAGCATCTTTAATCAAAATTCAAATTTCTATTAAATTATACTTTTATAGACAATTGATATTATACAATTAATTAATTTACTTGCTCTGTGAAGATCTAAATTAAGATGAATTAATTTGAAAAATAATTCTTTATCATTTTTCAATGCTGCCACACATAATGGGTTGATATCATCATGAGCTGCATATTCTAAAGCTGATGGACAACTCTTATAAATTAACTCAAACATATCGCCACTAATAGCACATGCAAGACTTAAAATGGACATCCCTATATATATATATATATATATAATTTTTAATTAATAAGAAATAAGATTAAAATAAAGTTGATAATTCAATTATTTGATTACCTAAAAACGAAAAGTCATTCACAATAACACCAAGATTTAGTAAAAATGTTACCATCTGTGTACTTTCATTTCTAATAGCTTGCATAAGTGGGGTCCAGCCAAAAGCATTTTTTCGTTCTAAACATTTTTTACCATGTTTTTGTAAAATATATTTGATTATATCTACACAATTATTTGTTGCACTAATGTGCACAATATTTTCTTTATATCTATTTACAATATTCAAAGAATAGTCTGTATATATACAATATCTTATTATATATATAGAAGCATGTATAATTAAAATTAATTTCATTTAAAAAAATTATGTATATGTACTTACTAGTTTTATTTAATATTTGTATTACTTGTGATTCTATTTTTTTTTTACTGGAGTCTTTATTTATTATGTTCATAATTTTTTTTCTAATGAACCATTTGAATTGTAAACAATTAGAATCTTTAGAATTCATTTTATCAAAAAATAAGTTTTACTCTGTTTTAAAAGTATTCAATAAGATAGACAAAGATAAACTAAACAAGTTAAACCTGCCGATTTGATTTCTATTATCGTTTATGTTACTGTTATTAAGTAGTTTACAATCCTACGTTAACATTTAAATTATTCAACATGTGCTTTGTATTATTAATTTATAAAACACATTACATTTCTACAAATTTTTATATGTAATTTATTTTTAAAATATAGCAAATTGCTATTTCATGAATAATACTATCTTATACATTAAATATTTTCTACAAACTTAATAAATTTAACCTTTATTTTAATTGATGTATACATGAAAAATTATTGCTCATAAATATCTCTCATCTATAAATGTCATATATAAAATTTAAATTTTTAAAATAATTTATACTTTTATCTAATTATAGTAATATTAGTAATTTATTACAATCATAAATTTTATCAATTTATGGAAATAGAAAAAAATATACTGTACAGATTTATTCAAAACTGTATAGTATATGTTTAATAAATGAATAGTACCTATTACTCTCTTGGAACAAATTTTAACATTTCTTGTTAAATATGTAGCTATATTCAAATATCAATATTTTCTTGTAAGTATCGTGTAAAATCTTTATAGAAACAGAGAGCTACGACCTATTAATTAGGTCTTGATAACGCATTTGAAATGTGGATACATCTACTGATATAGCTTTGATCATAATATAGGATATTTTAATCAAATTTTTTACTCATATATAAAGCATGAAAATCATTTCGTTAAAAAATTATTTCAAATTAAAGATCTAAGCTTGAAATAATTGAAAATAAATAAAAAATTGATTTTTTAAATCTAAAGTATCTATAGTATTATACGTTAAATAGAAATATTTAATATACATATATGAATGTAGATATTTTTAATTGACACTAATAAAAACCAATAGATATACATTTTACCCTTTTTCTTTCTCAATGCATGTTGTGTTGTCTATTGGCTTCTACAAAACTAAAAAAAAGTAATTAAATTGTATATTTATAGTAAATCATCAGCTATATATTTTTTTACATATACTTAGAATTGAGGGGAGAAAATTGATAATTATATAAGTATAAAATATTCGATTACCAGTATATTTATTTTTATTTGTACAAACTCATATATAATTTATATATATTTTTTCGTTTCCAATTGACGTCATCTCTATTGAAAAACTAATTAAACCCACCTTCACATATTATTATTACCCACTATTCACATATTATGCCGATTTTTATAAAACGTCAGAATATTTTTAAATAAATTCTGTCATCTTTTAATTCTCCATCACATTTGTATTTTCACAATTTTTTAATGATTAATATTAGATAAGAAAAGTTGGTTTATTATAATTAATTTGCCCAAAAGCTATAATTTTTTTAACTTATTTATTTTTATCTGAATATTAATTTTCATTTAAATGTTAATTAATACTTATTTAAATTTTATTTTATTTAATATATTGAGTATATAAACATTAGTTGAATAATTGCAAAAAAAAAAAATTTCAATCCAGACTTAATATATTATACTATTAATAAATGGTGATACACGAACATAGAGAAGATGAAACATATCATTTCTTAAATATATCATTATATTAGCTGCAACAGAACCAAGATAGTTTAAAAAGTTTTTAAACGCTTTTACTGGAAAATGATAGAAAAATAAGGGTGAGTAAAGTATAGATTAAATTAAGATAAATTTTATGTTTTAGGATATATTATTAGACAAAAAGTTTAAAGTTATGTAAATTTTTTTTATTTATTATATTGTAATATAAATAATATATCTACAGTTTGAATTTGATGATTTATTTGTTTTGTTCTTATATTTCATTTCAATATGTTTATAATGTTTTGAGATAACTCTTTCTAATTTTGTACATTAACCTTCGTAATGTAGTGGCTAATTCTATTGCCTTGATAGAATAAAATAAAGAAACTTGCAGATGTTGTTCCAGATCAAATTCAAACAGATTACAAGGTTTTTATTTAATAATATCTTTTTAGGCATAAGTCTTAAAACAAATTCCTTAAGAAATAAAGCTAATTAAGTTTTATTTCATCTCATACGAAAAAATAAAGCTTTAAACAATTTAATAATTAACATTATAACTGTTTCTTAATGTTCACAGTATATACAGACATTTTAGCAATTAAAATATTTTTTAATAATTTTAATTACAACTGTGAATGCAAATAATAATTATAAATATATGTATAAAAATTAGTATTTAGTATTATCATTCAATCGAAACTCTCAGAAAAATAAAGGTTTGAAAATACATTTTATTTTTATAGACCTTTTATTGATAAGAATATATATATATACACATTTAATCCTTTTAGATCATATTTTATTATTTAATTTTAATTATTTTATTATTTTAATACTATTAAATATGTGAGTATCAATAATAGGACAATAATTTAAAAATAAATGTCTTAATAAATAATTATTCATAATAATGCTTAATTGAAAAAAAACTTTTGTTGTTTGTTGGGATAAAAATATTTTCAATTAGTTACTTCATTTAAAGGTTTAACATATAGTTGTTCATAAATTCATAAATTCATAAATACTGTCATCTTTAGGCATATTATAATTTACAAATTTATCGACAATTAATAAATTACGTGTGGTAAATTTGAATTATTTCGATTATTTCTATATTTTATATACATTATTTTAATAAATTTTGAATATTTCTTTTCATATAATATTTATTTTAAATTCAAATAAAAAATATATATATTAATCAAGATTTTCTCGTACGGCAAATTGAAGTACTATATTTTATATTATATATTATATATATACATTATACATTACATATATTTTATAATTATGGATTGTTTATTTAATAGATTGCGAATTAATAAAATCGTATTTACAATATAAATATACTTTAAAAATATATCTATTATCGTGATGTAATAATAGTTTTGTGCAAGTATCTTAATTATAAGTATTAACTTTTTATATACTTTAAACAATATTTCTTTTTTATCTTTTTGAAAGCAGTTAATATAAAATGTAATTATGAATGAACTTGATTTTCAAATATTTTAAGAATCAAACAGTTTAAAAAAAAATCGATCTATCTAGTCGTCCAGAATGTGGTTATCATTCATTTCATAGGCGGCTTATTGGTGGAATACCCTCTAATCGAGGTAATGAACTTTTAAAAAATATTTAGTTATAAATTGAAATAACTTTAACTAAAAAAGAGACTAAATTATCTTAGAAATAAATAATAAAATAGCAAAAAACAAAAATTAGCATTTCTTGAGTTACTGAACTAGCATATTATGAAACAAAAATGAATGTTTGGTGCATGGATTTTTTTCAATTTACTTTATTTATAATATGAGTAATTAAAACATAACTATTGCAAAGGACAACAAATTATAATAATTTAACTTATATTTGTTATACCATAGCCTATTTTTCAGAGTCCGGAGCCTATAAGATCAAACTACGGATGTGTTTGTTTGTATAAATTTAAGAAAACACCTTTGATGGCCTGATCAAACTCCGCTTTTTTGGGGAAACTTCATCTAAGACTGTTAGTTATTGTTTTTATATATAGTATTATATCAATATTTTAAATGCTTTATTATACCTATGAAATAAATTAAAAATGTTATTTTTATTATACATTACATTTGCACCTTATTATTAACTAAAAACTTTAATTAAATATTATTATTATAAATTTTAATATTAATCTTACACGTATGCACATAGGAGTGCATACACATGTAAGTAAAAAGCATCTATCAAAACTCAATATAAATCTTTAATTTATTCTCTATATTAAATTAAAAATTGATTTTATAATTTTATTAAATTTTTTCAAACTGTCAACAAAATATAATTTTATAGAAAAGTTTATGAATTTTTTATATCTGTTTATACCGTTGTGCAAACTACATAGGAATTTAAAGAAATTCAAACGTATTATGAACTACTGATCAACATCTTTTTGATTTACCAAAATCAGTTTTCTAAGATTTCTCAAATTGTGAATATCTTAGAAAGTATAATTGTAAAAATTGTGAAAATATAATTTGGGATTAATTTTTAACAAAAAATTTAGTAATTACTATAAATAAATGATTAAACAATTTTTAAAAAGTTTCCTATTAATATAATCATGTATATATAAATATACATATAAGTATGTAGTATGCGGTAAATAAATGTGTAGTATATGCAAAATAGTATGTAGACATTTAATATTTTGTTGTATGCTACAGCTTAAAAGTTTTACATGTAGTCTCAAAGTTAGTTAATAGTTTTTTACCGTACATAAATTAAATCAACAATATACAAAAAAATATAAAAATAAACTATAAATTTATATTATAAATATATAAAATTAAACTAATGTTATTTTTAATTACAGGGATTGTATTGAATTTAATTATAAATAAAAAAATATATATATTTATTTATAAAAATTATAATACAGAATTTTCAACAAAATGCTTTAAAATATTCAAACAATGTAAAACTTGTAATTATATTTGTTTTGGATTCCAGTCATCCAGTGTCGCAGGACCAAGATGCTTGGATTAGACTATGGCCACCAGTTTAATGATGGGAGAAATGTGAGAATAAGTGGAATATAGTATATATATATGGAATATAGTAAGAAGAAGTA